GGTATCATACATTTGGGAGAGTAATTTAAGATCTTAATCCCCCCCCCCCCCCCCGACTGTTCTAGTTTAATGAATCTGCTCTTCCGGGACCACGGTAAACCCTCACTTCCCACATTGGACGTAGGACATCTGGCTTCAGGCTCCCTAAGGCAAGGACTGTGTCAAATACAAGATCATACCCCTCACCGCCTGTGTGACGTGAGGCCCATCAGATAATGTAGCCCTCCACCCTTCTCCGAAGAATAGATTTGAAGAGGAGGCACACAAGGACAACCTAAGGCCTCACAACTACATTTCCCAGAAATCCCTGCGTGATTCTGAGTAGACTACAGGGAGGAACTGTTTGGAAAGCCCGGAGGACACTTCCTGTATTGACCTCAAGTTGGAGGAGTGAAGTTAATCTTGTTCCTGGTGTGGGTCGTAGTTGAACTCGGTAAGTGAAGCTTTTTAGCTTTGAAATGGGGGCTTAATCCTATCTAAAATGGGAGTCCGGGAGGCTAGATACTACAGTGCGCTTGAATTCCAAGTCCAGAGGTGGTTCAGAAAGTAAGTGACACCTTATGAATCCTTATGCTGTAAGGACTGTACGTGTGAAGATAATGAACCCTTGATTCAAACTGTCTGTGCCCACAGCAGCAGTGCCCACAGCAGCACCTGCTGAGCTTTTTTCTGGTAACCTTCTCTGTCCCTGCCCTCATTTTAGTTCCTCACAAAACAGCTGACCCCACCTTCTCTCACTCAAAAATAATAACACCTTCCTGTCTAAGGTATCCTGCACAGAGACTTATTTCGTTGGCCCTCCATGGGTTTTAAAAGTTCAGAGCTAACTTTATTTTTTTTTTAAAGGTTATGTTTTTGTTTTTTTTTAATATATTTTATTGATTTTGTTCAGAGAGAAAGGGAGAGAGATAGAGAGTTAGAAACATTGATGAGAGAGAGTCATCGATTAGCTGCCTCTTGCACACCCCCCACTGGGGATATGCCGGCAACCAAGGCACATGCCCTTGACCGGAATCGAACCCTGGTCCTTCAGTCCCCAAGCCGACGCTCTATCCATTGAGCCAAACCGGTCTCGGCCAGAGCTAACTTTAAAGATCACACAGATATCACCTGCACATCTGAGTTTGCTGAGTTTCTGCTTTTCCTCGGGAGATAGAAAAATAAAAAAACCAAAATCCCTCTGGAAACTCCCCTGTTACAGCTCATCTCCACGCATGGGACTCCCTGGGCCACCTCACAGGCTGTCAGAACATCAAGGAGAGTTGAAGGAGGGTCTGTGGGTGAGGCTTGCCCATCAACCTTTTTTCCCATCCGGAAAATTACTGGGCCGGCCACTTGCCCCTGGGATTTAACGAGGTTGTAGTGTCCCTTAGAGTAGGTCTCAGAGCCAAAATAAAAGGAAAAAGAAGGGAAGAAAGGGAAGGAAAGGAGGGAAGTGGGGAGGGAAACAAAGAGGAAAAGAAAATAACAGCTCAGGAAAGAAAAGTCACTCAGAAACACTCCTTAAAATTCTTCTAATCAACTCAGCAATTCTATCCCTTGGTATAAACACAAAATAATTGAAAACACATACTGTGCTGAAAAATGTACTTGAACACATTCACAGCAGCAGTATTCACAATAGTCAAAGGTGGAAACAAGCCAGATGCTGATCAAGGAAGGAAGAGACAAACAAAAATAGTGAATCCATACCATAGAACATTATCCTATAAAATAAAAGGGTAATAAGCAAATTGACCCTAATGGCAGAATGACCAAAATAACCACTGGACCAGTCACTATGAGGCACACTGACCACCTCTTGGTCCCTTTTCCTGGCCAGCAGGCTCTGATTGCCTAGTGGCCACCTGCTGTGAGGGGGGGGGGCATCGAGCAGGCAGGAATAGCCGACCTCTCAGTCCCTTCCCAATAGCAAACAGGGAACCAGGGGTGGGTTGAGGCAGGGGGTGGAGGAGAGGGGGCAGGGAAGATGGCCCTGATCGCAGACCAGGCCTAGGGCCATACCCGTGCATGAATTTCATGCGCCAGGCCTCTAGTGCAGTCAAAAAAGGAAATGAAGTATTGATATGTGTTACACAATAAATGAACCTTGGAAACATTATGCGAAATGAAAAGAGGCAGCCACAAAATGTGCCATGTTATATGATTACATTTTTATGAAATATCCAGAATAGATAAATCCACAGAGACAGAACGTGGAGTGGTGGCTGCCGACTGGAGGGAATGGGGAGTAACTGCTCAATGGGGATGGGGTTACATTTCCTGCTAATGAGATATTTTGAAACTAGATAGAGTGGTGATTGCACAAAATTGTGAATGTACCAAATGGTACCTCTGCTCACTTTTAACCTGGTTAATTTTATATTATGTGGATTTCACGTCAGATATTTTAAGAAGTCTATTCAGTAATGTCAGGGATCCTGGGATTGGGGTTGACAATTTTACCCCAGTCCAGACGTGTACTGTGCTGCTTGTAGCCTTGGGATGGAGGCAGCATTTCTCTTCCTTCCCTAGGTCCTCATTTTAGTTTCTCAAGCACAAAATAGGGCATCCACTCCTACCCTCAAAATGAAATTTTTAAGCTGTCAACTTCTGTTGTCCCAGAGCCTTTTTGTTTGGCCTTTACCATCAGCTGTTTCTGTGGATTGGCTCTCGGGCCTGTTCCTGGGACCTCTGCAGGCATTCATCCAGGAGTGGGGCTGAGATGCAAGCTCAGTCCTCCTTGGTCTATTGAACGGTGGTCTCTGAGCAGAACTAGCCTAACAACTTCCCTTTCCATCCAGAAAGTCAAACAGTGGCCATTTGCCCCTGGGAAGGGAGGTAGGTAGTAGTGTCAGTCCAGGGAAATGCCATGGCCTTTTCTGGGACAGAGAAAAGGAAAGGGATAGAAAAAGAAAAAAAAAAAAAAAAAGACAAAAATGCCCACAAAGAAAGTCACTCACTATCACTCCTCAAAATTCTTCCATTCTGCACCAGAAATCTAGACAGTAGGTATAGAAGATTCCATTTCAATCCATCATTGAACTAGTGCTGCTGATAGCCTTGAGGTATGACAGCACCATCTCATGGGAAAACTAGCTTAGGATCAATCTGTTTTTAATTCTTCCATTTTAGCTTCATGCCTGCAACTTCATTTGGGGAAAGACTGGGCTTTCTTTAAAAACAAAACAAAACTGAAAACCACTGTTGTCCATGAAAGATATAGAGATCCTACAGCCTGGGAACTCATCAATAAGTTCTTTATATCAACCTATTTTCCAAGAGTACATCAAAAAGGTAAGTTGAAGCCAGAACCAGTTTGGCATAGTGGATAGAGCATCAGCATGCGGACTGAAGGGTTCCAGGTTTGATTCCAGTCAAGGGCGTATACCTTCGTTGCGGGCACATTCCCAGTATGGGGTGTGCAGGAGGCAGCTAATCGATGTTTCTCTCCCATCAATGTTTCTAACTCTCCATCCCTCTCTCTTCCTCTCTGACAAAAAATCAATAAAATATATTAAAAAAATAAGTTGCAATTAAAGTACCATGTCACTAGCAGTCAGTTCAATAAAACAACAAGGATCCATTTGATCCACAGAAGAAAGCAAGTCCCTTTTGCCTGATATTCTGGAAGTTGCCTGTGCATCTGACCTTTATTTTGCATGACTCTCCACAATGACCACTGATATGTCTTAAGTCAGGTTCCCCAGAATCAGACACTGAGACACATGACTTATTAGGGAACTGCCCCTGGGAAAAACCCAGTTTCAGCCTGGATGTGAATTCTAACTCAAAATGTGTCCCGACTCCAGGCAAGGTGGTGGACTTTCAAAATCTCCCACCAGTCATTCATTGACTCAGAGCTGCCCTGGCAGGATGTGCATTCCCTGGCTCTGCAGTGGAAGGCGAAGCAGTTCCAGGAGCCCACAAGGGGTTCTCCAAAGAGAATCTAGGGTGCAGGTCCTTAAGCATAAGGACACAGAAGCCAGGCTAGGGCACAGCGAAATGGTAAAAAAAAATATCTGAGTGAATACACAGCCTCACACGAACCTGAGTCTCAAATCTTCACCAATCCCATGTGCCTGTCTGAGTACACTGAACATGCTCTATTCTTTACAGCTCTGTACTATGGTGGAGGCCATAGGTCTAATGGGTTTCATTTATTATATATTTTAAATGTTTTTTTAAATTTACTTTAGCCATAATTCTCATAACTTTTCTACTCTTTGCTCTGTAATAAAAGGAGTCAGTGTTGACCATGGATCCTTTATTGTTGCCTCTCTCTTCCTTATTTTCATTTTGATTCACACTTCATCGGCCAATTAGGAACTAACACTTTATCAGGGTAGCTCATCCTTCATGCATTCCTCAAATTCTTTCATCTTTGAGATTGTTTTCATATTCATGATGCCTTTGTGACTAAATGAAACCCTATCTGAGAATAGTATTTGGAGATCAGACTTTCCTCTTGACGTAGTAACATATTGCTGTGGAGTATTCTGATGCCAGCCTGCTGGTTTCTCCCTTAAAAAGTGTCTGCTTTTCTATCATATACTCAAGTAGTTTTCTTTAACTTTGATTTTCAATAATTTAATCAGAATATATCCCAGTGTTGAACACTGAATCAAATTTTTTCAGAATTTTGCTGTTTTTCAGATTTAATTTTTGCTTTAGTTTAGGAAAACATTTTATTATTTTTATAAACAGTTTCTAATTGTGCATTTTGAGTTTTCTTCTTCAGAAGCACCAATTTGTTTTTCTCTTGGCTTTTTTCAAATTGTTTAATGGCTTTATCTTCCCATTGACAGTTACTATGAGTACCAAGTTTTTCTTCTACATATGTCATTTGATATCACAGTATTACAATAGTAGTAATAAACAAAAGACTTATGATTGTAGATAGTTTTATCGACTGTTTGTATTTACATATTTAAAATACATTCATTATAATTAGGCTAATCAAAGACATCCAAGTGCAAAAGTAATCCTATGTGTTTTTGTTTTCCTTGCCGTAGGGGATCATGGACATCGAAGCATATTTTGAAAGAATTGGTTATAAGAACTCTAGGAACAAATTGGACCTGGAAACATTAACTGACATTCTTCAGCACCAGATCTGGGCCATTCCCTTTGAGAATCTTAACATCCATTGTGGGGAACCCATGGAATTGGGCTTGGAGGCCGTTTTTGATCAAATTGTGAGGAAGAACCGGGGTGGGTGGTGTCTCCAGGTCAATCACCTTCTGTACTGGGCTCTCACCACAATGGGTTTTGAGACCACAATGCTGGGAGGCTTTGTTTACAACACTCCAGCTGACAAATACAGCAGTGCTATGATTCACCTGCTGCTGAAGGTGACCGTGGGTGGCAGGAACTACATAGTTGATGCTGGGTTTGGACGCTCTTACCAGATATGGCAGCCTCTGGAGTTAATTTCTGGGAAGGATCAGCCTCAGGTGCCTTGCATCTTCCGCTTGACAGAAGAGGGAGGAACCTGGTACCTGGACCAAATCAGAAGAGAGCAGTATGTTCCAAACCAAGAATTCCTTAATTCTGAGCTCCTGGAAAAGAAAACGTACAGAAAGATCTACTCCTTTACGCTTGAACCTCGAACAATTGAAGATTTTGAGTCTGTTAATGAATATCTTCAGACGTCTCCAACATCTGTGTTTACAAGCAAGTCATTCTGCTCCTTGCAAACCTCAAACGGAGTTCACTGTTTAGTGGGCTTCACCCTCACCTCTAGAAAATTCAATTATAAGGACAATATGGATCTGGTGGAGTTTAAGACACTGAATGAAGAAGAAATAGAAGAAGAGCTGAAAAACGTATTTAATATTTCCTTGGAGAGAAAGTTTGTGCCCAAACATGGCGATAGATTTTTTACCATTTAGAGTAAGGAGTAGAAATGGTCTTTGGCATCATTTCAGGTACTGAAACTTCTTACCATAAAAAAATTCCAATAATTATCAAAGTAGAGAGAATAAAATAAGAAACCCCTGTTTATCACCAATTTTACCAACTATCAACTGGCTGCCTCTCTCTCAAATTTCCTCAGTGATCCCACATGATATTAAAGAAAATCTTAAGACATCGAATCATTTTCATTCTTAAAAATGTTAGCACATGTAGTTAGAAAATATTTAAAAGAAACAGAACCACATGTCTTCACAAAATTAACAATAATAAAGGTTATTTATTATAAAAGGTTTTGTTGGGAGCAAACAGTGATTTCTGCTAGAAAAGCATCTATGCTGGTTGAATGTTAAATTCATAAAAAATGTTTACCCATGGTTCAGTAAATAGAAAATTGAGGAAATCGTTTTTATTAAATTCAACCAGGGTATGTCCCAATCTTTAAAATCCCACATATATAATTTAGGATTAGAATTCAACAAAGAAGAATGAGGCATGATATTGCTTTCTAATAGTTCTCAAGATAAGGCTTAAACCAACACATAGTAATGTGTGATTAAGCACGCAGAGAGTGACACAGCTAATAATTTCTTACATGGTGCTTTTTGCAACCACAGCTTTTTATGTAGCATTTTCTTAATATAGACACACTGATATTTAGAAATGTTCAAATTCCTGAATTAAGCCATTTTGTCTAAAAGTAAAAATGATTGTGAATTTTAAAATACTCTTCTGTAGCCGAAACCGGTTTGGCTCAGTGGTTAGAGCATCGGCCTGCAGACTTAAAGGTCCCAGGTTGGATTCCGGTCAAGGGCATGTACCTTGGTTGTGGGCACATCCCCAGTGGGGGGTGTGCAAGAGGTAGCTGATAGATGCTTCTCTCTCATTGATGTTTCTAACTCTCTGTCCCTCTACCTTCCTCTCTGTAATAAAATCAATAAAATAAAAAAATAAAATACTTTTCTGTAAAAACTTGGTGTCTTCCATCCAAGTACTAACCAGGCCCGACCCTGCTTAGCTTCCGAGATCAGGTGCATTCAGGGTGGTAGCAAGTTTTCCGGGTAACTCCATGGTGTTGTCGGAAGTGAAATCTGCAGATGTTTTAAGGTAGAGGGGCAGAAAGAAGATGAGAGAATGAGCTGAAAGACCTAGTGCTAATCTCACAGCTGCCATTTATGTGGGATCCAGGATTTTTCTTTGCTATACAGGACATTGGGACAACTGGTGAGATCACTATGGTCTATATATTCCATAATAGTATGTATCAATATTAATTTCCTCATTTTGTTTTTAGAAACTACACATTAAAGAATTTAGGAATAAAGTGGTACAATGTTTGCAACTTACTCTAAATAGGACAGGAAAAAAGAGAGGGGAAATAATGAAGCAAATAGGATAAAAATTAGCAGTTGGGAAATCTGAATAAAGAACGTAAGAAAAAAAACTTGATGTCTATACGTACATTAAAGATTGTTGGCTAATACACTGTCAGTCACGAAGTGGTTGTTTGGCAGAGTTAGGAGACCATGGGCTAGGACTTCCTCGCATCCACTTTCTTATCTCCCCGTTATTTTCTTTTACTTCCTCCCACACTTTGTTGTGAGAGCGTATAGACCTGAGTTCAGATCCTGTGGACATTGAATGAATTGCTTCATGAATCTGTGGCCTGATCCCTCGGAGGTAAAATGGGGTTAATACTGACACAAGTAAGTGCCAGACAAGAGTCAGCTCTCAGTAAATATTTGTTATGTGGTTGAATGGAGAATGTCAGGAATGTTTTTGGTGGAAGTTCTTCCATCTTGCTTTATTTCCGTAGCTTGAATCCGGTCCTGAATCTGCCTGCTTCTTCTTCGATTAAATGTGAATATGGTATCAGGTGGCCCCAATCTGACTGGCTCTGTGCTTCAGAGTTGGAAACTTTCTTATCTATAACTCACATTTTATGTTTGTGAACTTCAGAATCAGGGCTATAATTTCAACTGCAGACTCATCCTAAAAGTATTCTCTCTTTTCAACTTGTGATTATAATGATGGTAATGAAAAAAAAAATGGAATAAGCATTGCTAAGAGAGGCTCTTACAATAGTCAGGAGTCTATGAAGGAAGTGGGGCCCCTGCAGCCTGTGCGCAGCTTGCACCTCAGTTCTCTGAGCTGCTGTTATGTTGCCAACTCAGCTCCAGGCTGAGCCATAAACACCCTAGACCAGTGGTCAGCAAACTCATTAGTCAACAGAGCCAAATATCAGCAGTACAATGATTGAAATTTCTTTTGAGAGCCAAATTTTTTAAACTTAAACTATATAGGTAGGTACATTGTTATTAACTTAATTAGGGTCCTCTTAAGCTAAGCTGGCCTTTGCTAAACACTCAATGGGCCAAAGAGCCTCATGTGGCTCGCGAGCCGCAGTTTGCCAACCACTGCCCTAGAACAATTGCTAAATGGACACATGAATTTGACTTCCTCCTTGTAGTTTTTGCTTTCCTCATTTGCCTATTGGAACTAATCAATTCCTGGTAACCTAGTCAGCAATCCCTCATTTGCATGAAAACAATTACAGGTTTGAGTTTTGCCAAACCCGGCTGAGTTGCTCCCTGAATTTGCATCTCTTGGACTGGAATCCTTTTGCTCAACTGATTGCCTTTTGTCCTTTTTTGCAGCCTGAACCTCTTCTGTAGTTAACAATAAGTTTAAGAGAAAAGCAGTGGCCAGAACGAAAAAATGTTAGTTAAAAGAATAAGTTACTTTGGATGATGGGTACTTCATGTACTGATGTAACAAATACGAGGGAGAGCCAAAACTGGTTTGGCTCAGTGGATAGAGCGTCAGCTTGCGGACTGAAGGGACCCAGGTTCGATTCCGGTCAAGGGCGTGTACCTTGGTTGCGGGCACATCCCCAATAGGGGCTATGCAAGAGGCAGCTGATCAAAGATTCTCTCTCATCGATGTTTCTAACTCTCTTATCTCTCTCTCTTCCTCTCTGTAAAAAATCAATTAAAAAAAATACAAAGGAGATACTGCTCAGGGTGGAGATCCTTGGGAGAGGTGGATAGGAGACCTGGTAAGAGCTCATTAGAAATATCACTTGGTTGGTGCCAGAACGGAAGAGGGTGACAAAAGAGAAGTCTGCCAGCCTGGCTGCTCTGGTTGCTGCTTCTCAGGCCAGGAAGGGAGCCATTCTGGAGGTTTACCAGAGAAGCAGGTAGGAAGGTCTCACAGCCCTTAGCTGTTTTAGCTCAGTGGTTAGAGCATTGGCCCATGGACTGAAGGGTCATGAGTTTGAACCCAGTCAAGGGCAGGTACATCAGTTGCAGGCTTCATCCCCTGCCTGGTAGGCAACCAACTGATGTCTCTCTCTCTCTTGTACCGATGTTTCTCTGTGTGTGTGTGTGTGTGTGTGTGTCTTCCCCTCCTTTCCACTCTCTCTAAAAATCAATGGAGTCAAAACCAATTTGGCTCAGTGGATAGAGTATCAGCCTGTGGACTGAAGGGTCCCAGGTTTGATTCCAGTCAAGGGCACGTACATTGATTGCAGGCACATCCCTGGTAGGGGGTGTGCAGGAGCAGCTGGCCGATGCTTCTCTCTCATCAATGTTTCTAGCTCTCTATCCCTCTCCCTTCCTCTCTGTAAAAAAAAAAAAAATTATCTTTAAAAAAATAAAATAAAAATCAATGCAAAAATATCTTTGGGTGAAGATTAACAAAACAGGAAAAAGAAAAGAAAAGAAAAAAAAAAAAGGCCACACAGATACCACCAGGCAGGCATCAGCTGCACCCTGCCCACCAGTAGGTCCCAGCAGCAGTGGCCCAGGAGAAACCAGGGCAACCTCTGCCACAGGGGATCCAAGAGCTCAGGTCCCTGACCACACATTGCCCTGTTCTTCTTCTTCTTTTTTAAAAAAATATATATTTTATTGATTTTTTAGAGAGGAAGGGAGAGGGATAGAGAGTTAGAAACATCGATGAGAGAGAAACATCGATCAGCTGCCTCCCGGACCCCCCCACCAAGGATGTGCCTGCAACCAGGGTACATGCCCTTGACCAGAATCGAACCTGGGACCCTTCAGTCCGCAGGCAGCCGCTCTATCCACTTAGCCAAACTGGTTTCGGCCCTGATGTTCTTATATCACCCTCCTTCTCCAACAAGCCCAGTGGACAGGGGCTTCTCATTCACTTGCTTTGTCTACACCACTTTAGGGGGGGTGGGGAAATCTAAGTGCTTAATAAATGTAGCCTAGTGGGCAAATAGTTTGGGAATAAGACAAACAAAACCTTAATTGTGTGTTAATTCTTCTTTGTGGTTTAGTACATGAGCCAACTCCCAACTTCTGGAATCAGTCATTCTAGTGCCTCTGTAAAGTCTCCATAAGGCACAAATACCTACTGTTTCATCTTCCCGTCACCTTAGCCAAACTATTCTACATGGTCTTTCCCTCACAAAGAGACCAATGACAGCTCACCATGGCATTTATCTTTAAGGCAGTGGTTCTCAGTCTAGTCTAACTTTACTCCTAATAGGACATTTGGTGGTATGCGGAGACATTTGGTGAGATCTGGAGACATCTTTAGTTCTCACAATTGGGGGAAGAGGTGCTATTGGTGTCCAGGAGGTAAAGGCCAGGAATGCTGTTAACATCTGACAATGCACAGGCCAGCCCCCACAAACGATTACTTGTGCCAAAATGTCAATACAGTCATGTTCCACATAATAATGGAGACATGTTTTGAGAAAAGTTCATTAGGCGATTCTGTCATTGTGCAAACATCATAGAGTGCACTTCACAAACCTAGATGGTAGAGTCAACTATACACCTAGGCTATATGGTATAGCCTATTGTTCTTAGGCTACAAGCCTGAACAGAATGTTACTAAAGGCACAACGCCAGATTAAATCAAGCACAAGAGAAAATGGTGCAATCAAGAGATGCAGTGAACTCAAGATGTATGAGGCTGCTGCAGGTGTAACGCATTCTGTTTTACA